AAGGATGGCGGGCTTCAGTTGTAGAAGTTATTGAAGCTAGTGTATCTGGTGTCTCCCCCACACTGGAGCACGGCAGATAACTTCACCGTGCCTGCCTGCCTTCTCTCTGTCTCTCATTTTTAATTATTTTTTTTAAACATTTCCAATTTTTGTACTTGTTTGTCTGTGTGTTTGTGTATGTACCAGTGTATTGTTTTATTTACACATGTAGTTAAAGTCTATTTGGAGTACTACAGATGCAACATAACTGCTGTAGGTTGTATCTGTCATATGTTGCACCTGTTTCTTTGTATAGCTTGAGGGCTGGAGATGACAGAATAGGAACATACAGATGAGAGAGAAGAACAGGAACATGAAGATGAGGGACAAACAGCAGGAGAAAAAAGATTCAAAAACAGAACAAGAAAACAAAGTAGAACAGAACAGGAAAATAAAGATGAGAGAGAAAAACAGAAACAATAAGATAAGATAGAACAGGAACATGAAGATGAGAGAGAACAGGAACAAAAAGATGAGGAACAAACAACAGGAGAAGGAAGATGAAAAAAACCAGCAAGAAAACAAAGATGAGAGAACAGAACAGTAGAAATAATTACACAGGCTAATGGCACAGACAGTAGTGCGATTCAGTAGCAACTTGAGTTGTTGTTCAACAAGTTGCACTTTGATGTTGCTGCAATGTCACACACACGTTGTGGTTTACTTGAAGCAACAATAGTTTACATATGAAATCAAATGTCACACACACATTGTGGTTTACTTGAAGCAACAATAGTTTACTTTATAAATCAAATGTCAAACACACATTGTGGTTTACTTGAAGCAACAATAGTTTACATAATAAATCAAATAGTTCGCATTGATATCTTTATTGTTGTTCTAGAAAAAAAAAACGTTATATCTTTTATAACACAGATCAGATTATCATTGATTCAGTTTCTATTACTGTTGCTTGATTATTTGTTATCACATTCCGCCACAGAATGCTTCAGTGCAAAGGAAGAAATGGTGACATAACACATAATTTGTGTAAAATTAAATAACTAACAGGAATTGACAAGCATCATTCAGTACATTACTGGTTATAGCCCTGATGGTTGAACAGGAAATTATTCATTAAATTACTTGATGCACTGGTTTGGTAATGCTGGTGTTATCCATATGATGGCTGCCATTTCTGCACAACTGAGAAATGGTATTAAAAGTAATTCCAGATTTATAATTTATTTAAACAACGAGTTGGAAAAGAACCACCATATCTTTAAAATGAAAAAGAAACATGAAGCATTTTTTGGTTCAGAAAGAATTATATTAGCTATTAACTTGCCAAAACTGCATACAATGCACACACGTGTGCGCACACCTACGCACATACACTTACTTGCACACATGATTGAATGTGGATTGGCCAGCAGCCTTGTAGCTACTAGTGATAGGTGTCATTCTATTTGTGGCTAGAAGCTATTGATGTAGCTGTGTTCAGGTTTTCTCTCTCTGTGCACCTTGTGATTGTTTTTGTTGCCTTGAAGTACTCACAGAATGTTGTATCAGGGTGTAACTCTCATAGAATGTAGTATCAGGGTACACTCATGTTTGTGAAACATTCACAGAATGTTGTATCAGGGCACACTCATGTTTGTGAAGTACTCACAGAATGTTGTCTCAAGGTACACACATGTTTGTGAAGCATTCACATAATTTTGTATCGTGAAACATTCACAGAATGTTGTGTCAAGGTACACACATGTTTGTGAAGTACTCAAAGTCTTGTCTCAAGGTACACACATGTTTGTGAAGTACTCACAGTGTTGTCTCAAGGTACACACATGTTTGTGAAGCATTCACAGAATGAAATACCAGTATCTGAGTGGGTGTAGACATGTTTGTGAAGCACTCACAGAATGAAATACCAGATTCTGGTTGGGTATTGACATGTTTGTGAAGCACTCACAGAATGAAATACCAGTATCTGGGTGGGTATTGACATGTTTGTGAAGCACTCACAGAATGAAATACCAGTATCTGGGTGGGTATTGACATGTTTGTGAAGCACTCACAGAAGGAAATACCAGTATCTGGGTGGGTATTGACATGTTTGTGAAGCACTCACAGAAGGAAATACCAGTATCTGGGTGGGTATTGACATGTTTGTGAAGCACTCACAGAATGAAATACCAGTATCTGGGTGGGTATTGACATGTTTGTAAAGCACTCACAGAATGAAATACCAGTATTTGGGTGGGTATTGACATGTTTGTGAATCACTCACAGAATGAAATACCAGTATCTGGGTGGGTATTGACATGTTTGTGAAGCACTCACAGAATTAAATACCAGTATCTGGGTGGGTATTGACATGTTTGTGAAGCACTCACAGAAGGAAATACCAGTATCTGGGTGGGTATTGACATGTTTGTGAAGCACTCACAGAATGAAATACCAGTATTTGGGTGGGTATTGGCATGTTTGTGAAGCACTTCTTACAGGATTTTGTGCTTGAGACTACGTGATGATTTATTGTTTACTTGGTCCGTGCATTTGTGTTGTCAGCTGCACAAAAGTGGATAGCAGCGGCGCATTAAAATTTATTCAACATTTGTATCGTTGTTATCCTTTTGTATTGGGCAGTGACTGCAAAACTAGGTGAAACGTGTTTGATGTGTTGGCCTGCCAGACTGGTCACATAACTTCTGTTTGAAAATTAAAAAACCCTAATTTGCTGTATAAAAATCGAGCTTTAGATTGTTTAGCTTTAGATTATGAATTAGGCATACCTAACGCATTTTAAACCCACCATATTAAAAAAAAAAAAAAAATTTTTTTTACCCCTAGTTTTAAAAAGATATTTTTTTTAAGGCTTGAAAACGACCTGTGCGCCACAATTTCTGTTACTTGTGAGGTGGTAGTTTAATAGCATCTAAACATAACCTATTACACTGTATGTTTGTTGTGGTCATAACACAAGAGATAGGTACAATTCAGTTCAGAGAACATCTAGTCACAAGGAAAAAAAACCAGTGATCTAGGAACAAGCAGCTTTAGCGGTTAAAGAATTTTACTATGAATTGGCATTCAGCTAAACTCGTTCGCCCTGTGAAAAACTTTAAAAAGTGACCTTTTTCACCCTTGACTCACGGTACAAAGATCTATGCTTGAGGACATTTACCCTTGACTCACGTTACAAAGATTTACCTTATGCTTGCGGACATTTACCCTTGACTCACGGTGCAAAGATTTACCTTATGCTTGCGGACATTTACCCTTGACTCACGGTACAAAGATTTACCTTATGCTTGAGGACATTTACCCTTGACTCATGGTACAAAGATTTACCTTATGCTTGCGGACATTTACCCTTGACTCACGGTACAAAGATTTACCTTATGCTTGAGGACATTTACCCTTGACTCATGGTACAAAGATTTACCTTATGATTGAGGACATTTACCCTTGACTCACGGTGCGAAGATTTACCTTATGCTTGAGGACATTTACCCTTGACTCATGTTACAAAGATTTACCTTATGCTTGAGGACGTTTACCCTTGACTCACGGTATGAAGATTTACCTTATGCTTGAGGACATTTACCCTTGACTCATGGTACAAAGATTTACCTTATGCTTGAGGACATTTACCCTTGACTCACGGTACGAAGATTTACCTTATGCTTGAGGACATTTACCCTTGACTCATGTTACAAAGATTTACCTTATGCTTGAGGACATTTACCCTTGACTCACGGTACAAAGATTTACCTTATGCTTGCGGACATTTACCCTTGACTCATGGTACAAAGATTTACCTTATGCTTGCGGACATTTACCCTTGACCTACGGTGCAAAGATTTACCTTACGCTTGCGGACATTTACCCTTGACCTACGGTGCAAAGATTTACCTTATGCTTGAGGACATTTACCCTTGACCTACGGTGCAAAGATTTACCTTATGCTTGAGGACATTTACCCTTGACCTACGGTGCAAAGATTTACCTTATGCTTGAGGACATTTACCCTTGGCTCACGGTGCAAAACCATGTAGAAGAATACAGCTTACTTACGTTGGGAATTAAAGCTTTAAAAGCAATTTAAAAAAGTGAAGAACATTTATAAATGTATTAACAAAATGTCACAAAATTCTCTACTTCGAAATTACTTAGAAACAAAAGTGCACGACCAGTCAATCAGATGGTACATTTTCGTCACGATTTTTTCAGTACATTCCCAATCCTGTAGTTTTTCTTCAAAAACTCTAACAGAATACTAAAATGTAAAATATTGATGCAACATTTCTAAACCATACGAAAAAATCGGGCTCGGTACTAGATCTAAAGTTTTGCTCAGTACCAGATTTACATTTTTTCTCAGTACCAGATTTACAGTTTTGCTCGGTACCAGATTTACATTTTTTCTCGGTACCAGATTTACATTTTTTCTCGGTACTAGATCTACAATTTTGCTCGGTACCAGATCTACAGTTTTGCTCGGTACCAGATCTACAATTTTGCTCGGTACCAGATCTACAGTTTTGCTCGGTACCAGATCTACAATTTTGCTCGGTACCAGATCTACAATTTTGCTCGGTACTAGATCTACAATTTTGCTCGGTACCAGATCTACAGGTTTGTTCAGTACCAGATCTACAGTTTTGCTCGGTACCAGATCTACAATTTTGCTCGGTACCAGATCTACAATTTTGCTCAGTACTAGATCTACAATTTTGCTCGGTACCAGATCTACAGGTTTGTTCAGTACCAGATCTACAATTTTGCTCGGTACCAGATCTACAATATTGCTCGGTACCAGATCTACAATTTTGCTCGGTACCAGATCTTAAATATTACTCGGTACCAGATCTACAATTTTGCTTGGTACCAGATCTACAATTGTGCTCGGTACCACATCTGCTCTTGCTCAGCAAAGGTAAAATATTAAAATATTTGTATGAAAACACCAACTTGGGCAGCCTTGGAAACAGCTACCCTAAATTATGCCATCAGTGTTATTCAATTTGAGTGTTCGTTTGCTTGCCCCGTCCGTGTGTGCAATAAATCACAGTATCAATCAGCACCTCGACTATCTCCATAGCAGTCAACAGAGAGAACCCCAACCAAAGCCCCAGAAGCCCACCAACAGTTCCCAGCAGCAAGTTCCAGTCGTACTTAGCCTGTGTAGTAAACTCTTTGAACTCCATACTATTTAAAAAGATTTCAAGCCTTAAAAAGTTGGATTGGACAAATCTTTCGAAAGAATTACTGTTTGTGAAAGACATGTTTTGTACCAGCGAGCCATTAACTGTTTTCAAGAAAGACTTTGAAGTGAGGTCAGATGGCCACAAGGCAGATGAGACGACGGTATCAAACGTGGTGCGATCACACGCAGGAGGACACCTTTCACCACAACCCAGTTCACTTTTCAAAAACTGATCTTCAACTGTTAGTTCACACAAATATTCCTCAAAACTTTCACACAGTCTCAGACTGCGATTAGCATTTATTGTTGTCTTATCCACATTTAACATTTTATAATAATCACAGGGCAGGTCTACAGTACAGCATTTACAGCTCTCATACACTGCCATCTGAAGACAGGATTTCAGGCAAGCATTTTGCATGTACCTCTTATTTGGGAACAAACTACGTTGAGAGCTGCTTTGTCCGTTTGCACTGATACAGTTGCTGTACGGTGAAGGCAGTCGTTGAGTTATTTCCTGCAACAAGAGGTAAATTAACTCATTGAAAACACGAAAGCCTTGAACGTTACACTGTTAAATAAAGAATTAACAGAAGCGAAGCAATGCACAATTTTCTTCCAGAAAACAAAATAGTTTTGTTGTGTAGGTATAACAAGTCCCTGCCGTGCTACGATAAAGAGAAACGGTTGCAATTTCATTTATGTTGTCATTTCAGTGGTGTTAAATGAATTCTGTCTGTATTCCATAATTGTGGATTTCAAGCTGCACGATAGACACAGCCAGTGTGGACACCTTTTCTGGGAGTGCCTTCTTGGCTAGGACTATGTTCTTAGTACGCTTGTTTCCATAGCGAGGCGCACACGCCAATAGGAGGTGACAGTTTTGATTCCGGGCACGGTAACTATGACTTGCAATATTATGTTGTGTAGTGTGTCTTTCTGTCTTTCTATTTCTTTCTATGAGTGCCGATCAATACATTGCCTCTTTTGAAATTGTACATGTGATATGGAGAAGCAGCTAATCAGGTGGTACCTAAGGGGGCGGCATAGCAGCGAAATCAAAATACAGTTTGAATAGTTTAGGGGCGGCATTTCGAAGACTTGCATCATACTGAGCAAATCTACCGCACGGTCCTGAGGTGTCAGTCTTCACAAGAAGCAACTATGTTTCAAATACTGCGGGGCAAAATTGTGGGCATGTGAGAAATGGACTGAAGAGACAAAGATGTCAAAGAAGACCTCTAAAGATGAACGTTGTCGAGAGAGGTCAAAGGTGCTAGATTAGATTTCATCCATGATATTAGGAACAAAAAATGATTGCAAGAAAGGAATGGAATATTATACTGCAAGACTAATGGGATGCACACAACACAACATAATGATGATGAGCATAATGATGATTGTTTCCTGTCCCCAAAATCAGTCTGTTGAAAAACTTCCGAAGCTTGACAGTCTGAACGATTTCAGTGGAGATCGACAAAGTCTAGCCTACCATACTACAACATTTAGCTTGAGAATGGAGGTTGCGGCAGTCATAGCAGCTTTCCGCTGGCTTGAGAACCATCTGTACAGACAGTCGAAGAGAACTGACTGCCTACATCAGAAGGAGGCCCGGCTCTCTAGCGTAGTTGGCTAAACCGGATTGCGCGGAGACCGGTGACGAACTCCTTGTGGTCCGGGTTCAATCCTGGGGGTAGGCAGGAACGCCACATTTTCTCCTAGATTTACGGTATTTACAATGGAATCAAGGCCGAAAGGTTGCGATATTCATAATAAGGGTTAACAACTCATGGCTTCTGGATACTAAAACAACAAAAAAAAAAAAAAAAAAAAACATCAGAAGGAAACAACCTACATTGTTTGGTCATGCCAGGAGGGGTCGAAAACCGGAGTATATCACGACGGTGGGAAAGTCATCGGGGAAAAGACGAAGAGAGAAACGGAGAGTAAAGATGCTGGGCAGTTTGATTTCATTGCTTGTGAGATCATCTGTGTCAGAAATGACGAAAGTACACGAGAAAGAAGGTTGCTGAAAGACATATCTACCAACTCCACACGGCATTTAACATAAGAAGAATTAGATAAAGAAAAACGCCTCGAGACAAAAGGCTTTATTGCCACATATATGGCTTGTGCTTTGGTAACGAGAAGTGCAGTTGTGGATTTTTCTGTTTGCCTCCGATTAAAACAAATAAAGAATAATGACTTTACTGAGGATTCTGGATCTTCCAAATTAGAACCCATCTCCTCGAACCTGCGATAGCAACTATTTTTATTTTTATTTGATCATCATGTAACAGACACTTTGCAAGATGGTCTCATCACGTAACTGTAGAAAAGCAATCGGTCCCCTGCAGCTGTCCTCCTTCTCCTTAACTTACATACATCGATTCTTCCTGATAACTTGTGCCTATATTCGTACTGCTCACTACTTGCCTTTTCTTCCAGGAACTATACTAGCTTTTCTGTTTCTATCCAAACCATTATGACATTTAAAATGATTGAAATATAGCAGGTTACTGAGATTGATTCGTGGGAACAAAATGCCATGGACTGTGTTGTGTGGAGGAGCCACACCAAGAAGGGAATGAGAATGAACAAATACATTATTGCAGAAAGGATGAGGATGAGAGTCTGAGAAGAAACAGACTAAACACAAAGGTTTACAACAAAGGTTCTGAAACCCCATGCTATAATTGTGGACGACTTTTCTTAGCGCTGGCGGGTCTTGCTAGTCACATTCGCCATCGCCATGGGCTGTGAGTCACATGCCTCGTCATAGTGCAATATAACATTATTGTCTGGAAAGACGGAAAGGTGCCAATCATCAACATTTCAGGTTACAAGAAACGTTGATGTACTAGCCAGTTGTACTTCGATCTTTGTTTCTTCTTCTTCATTTTTCACCGTCTTCTTCTGTATTTTTTCTTTAATCAGTTAAATGAAATTACTTTATACCAGAACGTTGAAACGACCTCAAGAAACAATCAGTACCTGCCTAATCCCAATACTGGTGACAACACCAGGATGTGCTAGAATCCCGCCATCTTCCGGAAAGGGAGTTTCATCTTGTGAGTGTACAATGACATAGACCCCGGCTTTAATAGATACAGGCAGATATTCATAGAGCTCGATGTTGACTTCCAGTGTCAATCCATTTTGTGGACCGGGTCTATTTACGCACCTGCATTTAATAACGAATTTGTCAGTATTGGGTATATTGCTTTTGCATTGCCAGGAAAATAATAATAAGCATTGGGAGTTTTTACACCCCCACCCCATTAACCATCAAACAGGGATTAGTCAATTCAAACAAAATGTAACTAGCGACCCATACACTAGTACTAGCTGACGGATCTTGGGCGCTTCCGTCACACTCTATTTTGGAATTCTTCACTGCAAATTCCATTACGCAATGTCGTTTCTTCCGATCACAGTCGTTTTGAAAAATAAGAGGCATAGTTTTTTTTTTTAAATGGACCAATCTTTGGGGATACCTGTTCTGTATGTCAGGTGCATAATGAGGTTGAACATTATTTAATCTGCCGCAAGAAATATGAACTCTAAAAGACTACCCTTAATGGACGTATGATCAGCTGCAATTAGCCTATGAGGACTGAAAAACAAACCAGAGTACATGGTTCTAGAGAACTGCAGAGAAGGATTAAACAGTACATAACAAGAAGATGGAATGTTGAATAAGGAATCGACATCACAGAACTCGGGACACCCCCCTACCCCACAAGCACTCCACCCCCATCATCAACAGCAAGCGAAGAGTTCCAATTCAGATGGCACCAGTAACTATCTGTATATTCGTCTCGCCTTTCCCCTGAGTGTAAAGCGTCGGCCAGATCCCCTTGTAATTTCTCGCAGCGCCATTCTCTCTAGACCGTAATAATTTATCTGTACCTCCGCACTGTTCAATCGCTCCCAAAGAGCCCTCACAACATCCAGTTTGTCATACATCATTTCACCACCAAGCGGTGCAGAGCCAGCCAGTCTATCTGTCTGCTTATTATTTCCCAACACACCGGCATACCTGGAGAAAATATCCAAAGGATGCTAACTACCCGGGACCTCTGAAGTGATGCTTGCCACTCTGCACGGAGCGTGCCTGTCTCCACCTTTCCCAACATGCTCTGTGAGTCAGTGACAATCACGGCGTGTGCACATAGCTGATTCGCAAGCCAGCGGAAGGCAGCAATGACCGCCTCCACCTCCTTTCATTAACTTGTTCTTGAACATGGGTTTGCCTATTAGATAATAATATATCTTTTGACAGAAAATGGACATTCCAGATCCCTTTAAATATCAACGATGCTAGACTACATCATATAATTACTTTTATTGTTTGAAAGTACACTTAAAATATATTGTACTTGACATTCTTCACTCCTACAATCGTATACGGCTGCTGCCTGAAGTTTAACTCTAGCAGGACCACACGACGAATGCTTAACACCCGGTGACACAAAGTGCCACCAATCGGATGAGAATCACCCGATAAACCTTGAATAAATTTCAGGCCCTCGATGGCAAGTCGGGTGGGGGTGGGTGGGTGGGTGATGGTGGGGGCTTAAAAAACCCACAGAAATTTGCGTCCCACATTGGGACGAGAGTTTACACAGTGGTATACAATTAATTTAATGCCGGGGTGCCGGGTTCGATCCCAGCTGAGGGCCATGCGCATTGCGTTGGTTTCGACAGTGGTATCAAGATACTGCATAGCCAAACATAATTGGTAGACATAAATATCCACCATTGAAAAAAAAAAATAAATAAATAAAAAAAAATAAGGTATATACCCTGGATGGGTATTATATTCGAAATTTAGTCTGGGCTGCAAACGTGACAATCTACATATGATTTCCTAAATATAATGGGAGACATGCCGTCGTCTGCCAACCATTCGGTGTTGCTAATGTGTCTTTTTATTGATAACGTTGATTGTTTGAATGACAGTTGCTTGTTTGAAAGTCAGTTGCTTGTTTGAATGACAGTTGCTTGTTTGAATGACAGTTGCTTGTTTGAATGACAGCTGCTTGTTTGAAAGTCAGTTGCTTGTTTGAAAGTCAGTTGCTTGTTTGAATGACAGTTGCTTGTTTGAAAGTCAGTTGCTTGTTTGAATGACAGTTGCTTGTTTGATATTCTTGCTCTTCATCAAACATAGTTTCATTATTGAATTGTTGCTCAGAATATCTAAGAGGAAAAAGGAGACGGAGAAGAAAAAGAAGTGGAAGAAAAAGGGGAAGAGGAAAAAAAGAGAGTAAAGAATATGAATATTAAAAAGAACGACAAGAAGTGGCATAAGAAGGAAGAGTAAAAGGGGTAAGAGGATTCAGAGAGGCACTAGGTATACTATACATTTATTTGATTAAATACCTACTGTAGAAGGGGATCAGTTATTTCGAAGGTATAACATGTCCCACAGGTCGCAGTGTCAGTTCTAGTGAAGTTGACTTCAGAACACCGCCGCTGCAATAATAGAAATGTGAAGTTATAAAGACAAGAACATCTGGCCGTCACATGTAGTATATACAAATATCGTGTACTTTTCATCAAGGTTTGCAAACACTGCATATTGTCATTGAAAATCTAGTTACCTTTAGTCCGGACAAAATAATCTTGAGCCATCATCTCACTATCTGGAATTGCACAATCTGAATCTTTTTATCCACACGGAGTCGGATTCACTTTCATGTAACCATAGTTCATTTGTGAACACACCCTAAAGTGAGAACAAGAATATGGTCTCAAAAGTAAAGGAAGTGGGCTTATGGTGACCACATCACCTGCTGAGTGTCAGTTATGAGTCCAAGGTTTGAATCCACCAGCCTGTGCCTAATTCGCCATTCAAGTTAAAGGTCACTCAACCCGAGGGTAGACAATTGTCGACTAGGGACCCTTTTTACTTCTGATGGGTAAAAGTCCTACTGCGCATCCTTCCTCTGTGGGATTCTTCTTATTGTACGTAGCTAGTTCACAACACGACCAGGAATCGCTGGTTACGTTTGGGATATACCTTTTGTCGCCCTGGAAAGACTGGCGCACCCGGGGTGTAGACTGACCCTCTGGCAACAGAGAGTCGACTGAAGACCTGGTTGATCACCCCTATTTCAGTACCAATCCTCTGATTTCGCAAACCAGAAATGAAATATACCCTCGGGGTCCTCTGAAAGGGAGGGAGAAGGAAGGACCCACTAAAACTGATACTAAGGTTGTTGACCCCGCTTGCCCCCAGACAGTGATTGTTACCCAGCGACTAGGCTGGCAATATACTTCACAGGGGAGCATGGTCTAAGCAAGACCGTCTCAATTTGACGGGCCATGCTGCTGACGTCACTAACCCGGACTAACGATACTTTTTGTGCGGCTAAAATGAACATATTTTCACTGAAATTGATCGAAAATGTCGTACTAGTTGCGAAAAATAGCTAAATCTGTACTCAACCTTCACCAAGATATTTCAAAAACTATTGCTTGTGTCCGAAGTAAGCACAAGCGCTGTGTGTGGAGACAATAAAGAAAAAAATCAACACCACAATTAGGAAGTTACTTGGAGCGCCGCCTTTTCTGACTGATAACGCTCTTTATGGTAAACAGGCTAAGCTGGTGCTTCCGTTCAGGTCAATAACCGAATTTAAAGCCGACAAGGTAAGACTCTCGATGATGCTGCGCGAGTTCAGACCCCATAGTAGCCGCTGTCCAGCCCCTCTAAAGACAGGTACAAAAATGAAAGGTTACAGATGCGATAGAATCTGCTCAGAACGCACTAACTTTGCGGAAAGTCAACAGACCGACGCGGTTTAGGGCAAAGAAAAGTCACTTGGTGGTGCAAAGCCTGGGCCAAAGAACGCAGAGACATAGTAACACAGCATATCAAGGACTCCGAAACCGAGTTACAGATAAAAAAATCAGCCTAGCAGTGGCGGCAAGGCCAGTGGATCGGCCCCAAGAGAGCCTAGCCACGAATACTCACATGGGGTGAGATGTAGCGAATGACCCTCCTGTCGCTGAGCTTTGTGATAAGATCGGCTTACGACGTGTTGCCCTCTGGCGATAACATATCCAAATGGCGTGCGACCACCGACCCGATATGTCCCCTTCGCAGAGCGAAACAGACTCTCGAGCACGCAATGTCCGCCTGCAGAAAAGTCTTAGACAAGGGCCGATATACATTGCGCCACAATAAAGTCCTGAAAGAGACCAAGTCAGGATGAGGGCCAACGCGAAGACCAGTCCTAACGTGCGCCGCTCCCCTTTCACCACCATGCCCGTTATCAAGGCTCGGTAGACCTGTAAAGGTAAAGACCTGACTAGGAGGGACGGGTTACTGACCTGCTAAGTTTCGAAAAATACCACGTAATAATCCGAAAGACTGGCTTTAGAACAGACATGGCTCTGCACTCTGAGGAAGAACGCCAGCTCATCATGATAAAGCTCAGCGTGCCGTACGAGTCGCGGATGGAAGAAAATCACATGTGTAAGCTCGAAAAGTATATTGAACTAGTGGCCGGTATGAGGAGCGATGAGGCATACACAGTTAAACTCTTCGCCGTCGAGGTAGGCGCAAGAGGGCTTATCTCCACCTCCACATACAATGTTCTAAAGCACCTTGGCTTACGAGAAAAGGTGCGTAAACGGGCGCCAAAACAACTGGGTGAATCTGCAGAAAGAACTTCGAGCTGACTATTGACACAGTGGAACACCGTGGGTGATTGGCCTCGGTAGACTAGTTAGAGTCCTAAGTGTAAAAGAACTGTTAAGTCCATAAAAGCCACAGTGTCTGACCAACGTCTCCCAGTCGTTGTCTGCCAATTGCTAAAGTGTAACGTTTGTCTGATGAGCCAGCCGTTAATTTGTAACTCTAGTCGTGAAGGTAGGCGGCTAATTTACTATCGCAGCGACAATGTATAAAACACCAAACCTCACAATACCTGTAGCACAGCCACCATTTCGTCTTGTTCCTGTCCGCAGCAGGAGATGTTCGATGCCTCTACACCACCCTCTGAAATTGTCTAGGAGGATAATGGGCCCAAAAAATTGTGGACGAGCAACCCTTTTCAGATGACTGGTCTTCTTCTTCTTCGCGTTCACCAGCTGTACACTCTGGTGGAAAGTTCTGGTTCTTTGTCCACTTCTGACCTGCAGTTCTGCTCCATAACCTGAGTGTTGCGTGTGCATCCGTTTTTCAGATCTGATTCACTTGAATGCAGACTGTTGGTTCCTTGCCTCTCAGGCAGATGCACTCCGACTTCAAAGGAAGCTCTCTAATTAGTCGACTCTTACGACATTCTTTTTTGGTTAGTAGGCAGAGGGTCTATTCTTGTTTCCCCCACGATAGGGTCCCGGAACCGACACGGGGAAGATGACTGGTAAAACTCCTGATTGCATTTATTGTCAACTTTTCACCCATGTGCTCTTCGCACTCTGAAGGTTTTGAGTTCATTTCACGAGTCGTTCAGTTCACAGGTGCATGTTTTACGAAGATCTATGGGATCGTCGCTGGAGCCACGAAGTTAAATGTCTTTAACGACGCTCTTGACAGGCGACTTGCCGAGCCAAGTGGGATCACATCGAGTGCAATAAGTCGATTCTCTCCATTTGGTCTTTTACATACGAGGGTAATACTTCTGTTACTGCCCTCGTATCAATTATTGCAGATACTTTGTGTATTATTTCTGATTGATCTTAGTATTTCTGGCCTCAATGCCGTATTGATTTGACATTAGAGTGAAGTGAGAGGATTCCATTATACGAACTCCATTTGCTGTGAATATTTATTTGAAAAGTGTGTATACTTGCTTGAAACTAGTAGCTTCGCTTCCTGCATAATTTAATAGTTCAAGTACCATCTGAAAAGCTGCGGATATGTGCAGTCAACACTGTACTGAGTGTTGAGCTAAGAAGTGATACCACATCACTGAGGACATTCCCATACGCGCTCCGTCCTTATCTTCAGCAGCCAGCGAAGAGTTCCAATTATGATGGTGCCATTAGCAGTTTGACTATATGTCCGTCTTGCCTTTCCTGTGAGTGTAGTGTTGTTCCGATGTCTAGGTCATTCCTAGCCTTACCATTCTCTCAAGACAATAACGATCTTTTCATGCCTCCACACTCTTTACTTGCTCCCAAAGGCCACGTACCATCTCTAGCTTGTCATGTATAAATTTACCACACATTTGTGCCGAACCAGCCAATCTGTCTGTCTGTGCATTTCCCAATTCGCCTGCATCTTCTTCTTCTGTCTTTCTAGCTCCCAACGGAGCATAGACCCTCGACCAACTCACACCAGGTTGTTCTATACTTTGATTTCGCATGCCGCTCCCCCTATGTCCTCCCCATCTTTCTAACTTTATTCTCCAGCTTCCTTCTCTATGTTTCTTGGGGCCTTCCTTTATTCCTATGCCCCAGCGGTTGCCTAGATTCCCTCCAGTAATAGATGACAGAGAAATAGTCCTAGATTTCCTCCAGTTATAGATGATAGAGAAATAGTCCTAGATTCCCTCCAGTAATAGATGATAGAGAAATAGTCCTAGATTCCCTCCAGTAATAGATGACACAGAAATAGTCCTAGATTCCCTCCAGTAATAGATGACAGAGAAATAGTCCTAGATTCCCTCCAGTAATAGATGACAGAGAAATAGTCCTAGATTCCCTCCAGTAATAGATGATAGAGAAATAGTCCTAGATTCCCTCCAGTAATAGATGACAGAGAAATAGTCCTAGATTTCCTCCAGTAATAGATAATAGAGATATAGTCCTAGATTCCCTCCAGTAATAGATGATAGAGAAATAGTCCTAGATTCCCTCCAGTAATAGATGACAGAGAAATAGTCCTAGATTTCCTCCAGTAATAGATGATAGAGAAATAGTCAAGAGACACCCCAGTAACAGATGATAGAGAAATTGTTCAAGATTCATTCCAGGATGTCGCACTGGAAAGATATAATAACTGGCCTAAGATTGTTTAACTCCAGCAAGTAGTAGTTCATGTGCACACATCAGCATGGCACTCACTTTGTTAAACAAACATTTGATCAGCATGTCCGAAATTTTATGGTCAGCTACGTCGCCATTGTCCAAAAAATCTTGACGAAGCAACCCCTTCATAATAGCGTCATCAGGAGAGGCCTCTACCTGGTTAAAAAAAAACACAACATTTATGACTACAAAAACCACACAGCATGGACATTCAGAAGAATAAGTGTACGTTCTTTTCTTAATTAAATAATCAGGTCTTTAAAAAATAGGACAATGGACGCTTGTTGGTTATTGTTAAAGTTCTGGCGGGACGACCTGGACACACAAAATAACGCCACTGTCCCGGTGAAAAAGGGAAGTATAGGCATCACCCTACTATAAGCTGATTTATGTGTCTGACCTGAACTTATTCTTACAGTCCAACCTACCACAACCTTAAGTCTCGTGTACTTTTAAACAACTCTGACACAGATGATCCTCAATGCCATGATGTCTAACTGTCGAGCTTCTTTTCTCTCGGTCTCTCTCTGCCTCTTCTCCCTTCCAACTTCCCCCACCGTCACGATGTACTCCAGTTTTTTCTTTCTCGTGACGTGGCCATCAAATTTAGATTTTCTTCTTCTTGTATGGGTAATCAGTTATCTTCGTGAGGCAGTTTCTTTCAAACTATCTTCATTACTATTTCTATCTGTTCAGTGTATTTTCATCATTCGTTTATAAAACCATATTTCGAATTTCGAAATAATTTTTACTAACCTCCTACAGTCCCTGATTCGGATCTGATTAAACTACTTCATTACAGTAAAGCCTTGTTATCGAGAATTCAAAGTACCTAAAATATCAAGAGTTCCTTTAAAAAAAAAATGCGTGGTAACCGTGGTTTAAATATAAAACATTCCTGGTGTGATATATTTCTTCATATTACCATTGGGTTCTTCGTAAGCTAATTGGTCTTAACAAGGTTTTACTGTATTAAAAAATGTGTTAATGAATAACTCAACAACTGGTAAATTGAAACGAATGTTGCTGAGAATTTCCATAACTGAATATAGATTTAAGAGTTTACATGAGCATTCCCATAAGCGCTACTTTCCCATCTTCAGCAGGTAATGTTGAATTTCAATTCCAAAGATACTAGCAGAGGTTCAATTACAAGTCTGTTTTGTCTTTCCGCTGTTGACTGATGACTAGATCCCCTTAGGCACAATTCTCTGCAAACCATAAAGATCTTTTAGCACTTCTGCATTACTTACTTGAAACCACAAAGAGCCCTTAATATGTCTAGCCAGTCGTAGTTTAGTTCACCATCAAATGGTGCAGCAAGGAACCAGCCTGTCTCGCTGTTCGTTTAACTGAACTTCTGTATACTCAAAGAACAGTCCCAAAAACACTGACTACCTGGGATATAGGAAACAATGCTTTCCACCGCCTGGAGCATTTCACACACGAATATATATATATATTTAAGACGGATATACAGACATACATATAGATAGATAGACAGTTAAACATACATACATACAGACAGACAGATATATATATATATATATATATATATATATAATATATATATATATATATATATATATATATACATATTTAAGACAAACATACAGACATACAGACATATATATATATAATATATATATATATATATATATATATATATATATATATATATATATATATATATATATATATATATATATATATATATATATATATATAAAGATCGATAAATATATATTTTTTTATCACCTCTTCTAACGTTCCGGTCGCATATACCAGAGACTCATCCATCTTCGACTTCCTCTTTTGATTCAGGTTACAAATCGTGATCGCTGGAAAGATCGCAGTATTTTCTTGTTTCAAGGTGACCACTGTTGTAACTGGATAGCTATAGTAGTCAGCCATAGTGAGCACAAACTGGTAGACGGAAAATCCGACACCTAGCAGAAACACCACTGACCACATAACTCGCTTCCATGTGGGGTTGGTGGTCAGTACTCCGCCAATACCATGCATAGAAGTGCTCCCACCAAACTCTTGATATAACGTCTTCAGCCGGTCTGTTTCTGATGCTGCTATTTCAATCCCTGCCATTTTTCTACTGCCCCAATGGAATTATGCTGAGGGTATGTCCCTTACTTCAGTTCATCTCGAATTTCTCGTGAATGAAAAAGAAACGGGTAACCTGATTAAGTGAGCTTAATTTACATTTCCCAAAGCGAAGCACATTTATCAGTCAAAAACATTACTACAGGATTCTCCATTTCAGTTCTACTCCATAACAGCTGTCTCGTGTGACTGAAAAGAAACATGCGAAATGATTATCTAAATAATTTTACAGCTGACAAGCCGAAATATATTCATCACATACATCAGATTAAACAGTAAATATTTGTTTTTATTGTGCTAGCGGGAAGAAAGAAGGAGGAAAAACAGAAGAAGAAGGAGAAACAGAAGAAGAAGAGAGAGATATAAAGGAGAAAATGTGCGATTAAGGACAAAGGTAATAGTTCCCGGCTAAAAACAAAAACTGGAAAGTAAAAAAAAAGACAAGGGTTCTTCTGCGCAGAGATCCTAGAATATTTCACTGAGACCCTAACTATGAATATCTGTATAGTGAGTTACATGACGACGACCTAACTACATGGGTACATACACCTAGACGAACCACGGACTACCGATCCTAAATTAAATCAAGCAAATGAATTATGATCACATTAAAAAACTGTTTATTTTACTTAATATAATCAGCGTGATCCACAAATAACATTACAATATCCAACGTGCTCGACCAGAATCTAAATTGCTAATCATCAAATCTACCACAACTTAACCAAATTAAACATACCACCGCCTGCGAAATCAGTCTGACAACGACCTTTCCCTGCGTTCGCCATACCCGCTGGCTAGCCCAGTGTGCAAAGCCGCAACAGTTAGGTAGGTCTCCACAGGGTCCGTACGGAAGTCAAATAGGTCGCTGAAAGACTAAACAAAGTCTTTTATACCCAGTGGCCAGAGTTTTTTCACGCTACCGTCTAAACATAAAAGCTGTTCATGTGGCCTCTTTGCCATTTTAAAACCAGATTAAATCAAAATCGATTAGCTGCTAAACAGTAGTTTTCCAGCCGATTACATTATCTTTACAGTTTTCGCTCTTTTCGTTACATATAGTCTGGACATGTGTGGCCTACGTGGATACCAAGCATCGGCACTTTAACATTAAAGGGATCTACGTGGATACCAAGCATCGGCACTTTAACATTAAAGGGATCTACGTGGATACCAAGCATCGGCACTTTAACATTAAAGGGATCTACGTGGATACCAAGCATCGGCACTTTAACATTAAAGGGATCTACGTGGATACCAAGCATCGGCACTTTAACATTAAAGGAATCTACGTGGATACCAAGCATCGGCACTTTAACGTTAAAGGGATCTACGAGGATTTAATGCCCGCAACAGAAGCAGATTTAATTTATCTATATTCTGAATGGTACCAACATTGTCGATAAACTACAATTTTGTTTGTTTGTTTGCAGGCTAACACACGCAATAACTGGATAAGTGTTTATCTGTGCTAGAGATGCCATCTATATATTCCTCAGTTTCAAGTGGGTGTCATATTTTGTGTTGACATAAAGTTTATGGCAGCTTCCAAAGTCGATATGTAGCCGAGAACATTGCGTTACGTGGGAATTGTGTCCATGTATATCAATAGTGCACCTCGCGTCGTGGAGAAATTTCTCAACAATGAGCAGATTATGTAGAAGTTTTATGCAAGTCGCAGATAGATGGTTCTTCTCTCCCCCCCCCCAACCACCATTTTAAATAGTAAACTCTGGAGGATAGTTCAGGTAGTTCGTGTATCTCTAGACTGTAGTCTTCTTTCAGAACCTGAGTGTTGCCTACACGTTCATTTTGCAGATCTGTTATATTTGTATGCGGACTGTTGATTCCTTGCTTCTCAGGTAGAGGTACTCAGACTTTAAAGGAATTATTCGACTCATACGACATGCTTGTTGGGGAGGCAGCAGGTCTATTTTGTCTTCCACACAATGGGGCCCCGCAACCCACACGAGGAAGGTGGGTGAGTTTATAAAATAATTGTGAGAAAAAAATTGAATAGAAAAGGTCCATCTCAGAAAAGGCATCTGTTTTGTATGCTCTCTGGACAATAGAAGTGTAAAAGCTAATGTTATAAACCTCACAGTTAATAACAGTAATTCAAAAGAGAAAGCAAACTAAGGTACCTGGATATCATTTTAGATAGAAGCCTGTCTTTCATGGATCATGTGGATGCAGTTGCGGTGAAATGCCAAAAGGATTCAATACTCTCAAGATTATGGCAGCAATGGACATGGAACAAAGAATGATGTTCACAATGTTCCAGCCTGTGATCCTGTCGGTGATAGATTATGGACTTAGCATGCTTACCATATCAAAGAGTCAGCTGATGAAACTTGAACGCATACAGAATGAAGCCACGCGGGTAATTCTGGGATGTACAAGAGATACCCCGGTAGTATGTACGTGATATATACTTGCCCTGCCTACTATAGCAGATAGGCTCAAAGTTCTGCAAGCAAAGTCCTTTCCCAGAGTAGCTGCAGACAAGAGGCACCTCCTACACGAAGCTCTGGATAGAGCTAAGGGTCACCGACTGAAAAGAGGAAAGTCTTGAATGGCGCAAACTGCAGACACAGTTTGACATGTGTGCGGGCGTGATAAATTTAGGCGCGGAGAGGAGTGAGTCAAAATAGTGTCATGTTTCAGATTTGTGTGAGGTTCTAATCACTTTGGGACGTGAGTGCGGGGACTGGCCAGTGTGCTATGCAGAATCAGAAATTCAACAATTAATTCATAACAGTTTCCGCCCAGGTGATGTGATTATCTATACAGATGGCTCTGTGGTGAGAGGCAGACGAAGCACAAGGAGTTTCTTATCAAAAGTGAATGGGCGTCGCGTAGTGCAACAAAACCTGGCATATGATATCACAACATCTAATTTGAGAATAGAGGTGGAGGCAGTCAGTCACTGCTGCCTTCGGCTGGATTGAGTGAGAATCATGTCGTAATTGTAAGTGACTCACATCGTATGTTGAGAAAGGTGGAGGGCGGTATTTTCCGTGAAGAGTGGCAAGCATCGCTTCAGAGGTCTCAGGTAGTTAGCGTCCTTTGGATTTTTTCCCAGGAATGCCGATGAATTAGGAAATGAACAGACAGACTGGCTGGTCATGCACAACTTGCTCGTGAATTGATGCATGACAAGTTAGATGTTTTAAGGGCCCTTGGGGGGTGATTGAACAGTGCGGAAGCACAGATGGATCATCATGGTCTGAAGAGAATGGTACTGCGAGGAGTGAACAAAGGATCAGGTCGACGATTAGCACTCAAGGGAAAGGTGAGACAGATATACAATCAGACTGCTATAGGTATCACTGGAATTGGAACTCTGCACTTACTGCTGAAGATGGGAACATAGAATTTATGGAAATGTCCAGAAGGCTGTAATGTCGATTCTTAATTCAGCAACAAACAGTCAGGTCTCTTGCCAGTGTCGAAATTTACACAAAACCGCCTGCTACTAATTGCCTGCAGTTGAATAGAATACAGTGTATCGAAATTATGAAACTACATTACTAACTACAGATCACACAGTGTGATATTCTTTTCATATTTGTTTCATTCGCACAAACTTATTAACATATTTCTACGTCTTCTAACTCGCGTTTGAGTATATATATATATATATATATATATATATATATATATATATATATATATATATATATATATATATATATATATATATATATATATATATATATATATATATATATATATATATATATCAATGTCCTTATTGTGACAGTACGATGAAGGAGCTTTTTCTTGAATGACGGAAAAAAATTTCACCAAAGTTGTGTAACATTGCAACAACTTGACACGAATGGGGTACTCACCTGTCGTGACATCTAAAATGGCTCTTAATTCACTCTTCCCTCTGGAGATCACGGATCAATCATAATGGCATATCACGGATCATTTATGTTGGCATAGAAAGCAATGTAATTTGTGTAACATTATAGTTTCAATGATTATATATTGATGAAATCACCCTTTTATCACGGAGGCATGACGTGTTCAGAAGTGTCGTAACAATGGCCAGATAGAAGCACTTAGTTTAAGCATTCAAGTATGGTTAGCATCCCACACAAAATCACCTTGGTATTCTTTTATTTCTTTGCCCTTTATTCCCCCCCCCCCCTCCCAATGAAGCGGAAGCCCTGAACAAACACGCACAAACGCCCCATTCTTTGCTATTTTAATCAGCTCATCACATGTCCCCTCCTCTATGTTTGTGCCCTGTAAGTTCCAGTGCGTTTACATTCTAGCTGCACTGTTCTCATATTTTTTTTAGTGTGTTGTCCTATTCCACGTTAGCGTCTTTTCTTCACGACTTTATTCACTATAATGTGTTTACTTCTCTCTCAGAGCTGAACTTTTGTGATTTACTCTTATGAAGATGTTAATAAATCCTAGAGTGCATTATTGATTTCCAGAGAGATTCTCTATCAATGCCCTCAAAATCTTTTTCACAGTCTACAATTCAAATGTAAAGTGGTGAATACAGTTTAAAGCCTTGCTTAATTTTTATGCGTAGTGTGGCTACCTGCTCAGTAAAGGATCTCTTTGACCGAAAACTACATGTTCATCCCTTGCCTGTTTATTAATGGCATCGTTTAGCCTTTTTAAAAATCCACAACTCATGGAATTGTTCCGAATGTATGCGTTCACTATCCTACTATTCCATTGTTAGCTGGAGTGAGTAGCATATGTTCAGTTCGAACACGATGTTGGTCGTTAATGTGATGCTATCTGTGAAGCACTTAGTTTTGTATTCAGAAAAAAATCAGATGTTGAATTTGATAGTTATATTCATTTATTTCATTCAAGATAGAACTTGTAGTTCGTGCACATGGTCAGACTAGGCTTTGCCTATGTTAAAAACGTTTGTTGCATATCCTTTATAGGACCTTGTATGTATGTATGTATGTATGTA